AAGTCCCCCGACCCTCCAAGTACCGTCGGCGCCCTGGCCAGGCTCTTGCGTCAGCAGAAGCCTCGACTCTTGGGCCATCTGAAATATGTGCCTTTGCAGCAGTTCACAGGGGTTTAGGGTGGTTTAGGGCTTAGGGCGTAGGGTTTAGGGCTTAGGGTTTAGGGTTTAGGGCCCTTTAAGCATTGTTTTAATGTAGGGGCCTCGATGATTACCAACACTATTTTGGGGGTTCCTTATTGTAATCATAGTATAATGGGACCCCAAACCCTATTGATATCAGTAAGGTCCCTATATTATCTTCATTAAGGCATTCTTCCAAGGGCTTTAGCGGGTTTTTTCAGGTCTTCTTTCGAGGGCTTTAGCGGTTCTTTTTTAGGGATCTTCCAAGGGTTTTGGTGCATGGTTCTGTTTAGGGTGGCATGGCGTCATGGCAGACGACCTAAGGTCCTTTCAAGGGGTTCGTCAGCAGGCCAGCAGGTTTGATGCTCAGGCTTCTGATGCGAAGGCAGGTTTGTCGGGTTTTTATAGGCACCTTGGCCTGAACCCTAAGGCACCTAAACTCTAAACGCTGAAACCCTAAGCTCTACACCCGAAACCCTAAGCCGTAAGCCCTAAGGCACCTAAATCCTAAACGCTGAAACCCTAAGCCCTAAAACCCGAAACCCTAAGCCGTAAGCCCTAAGGCACCTAAACCCGAAACGCTAAGACCCTAAAACCCGAAACCCGAAACCCAAAACCCTAAGGCAGCTAAACCCTAAACGCTGAATCCCTAGGTTTAGGGTTTAGGGATCAGGGTTTAGGGTTTAGTATTTAGGGTTTAGTATAAGCCCTAAGAGATGCCTCAACCCAGCGCCTGGAGGCTCGATTCCAGCAGGTGCTGAAGCAGACCAGGCCGGCTAGGGTTTAGGGTTTAGGGTTTAGGGTTTAGGGTTTAGGGGTTTAGGGGTTTAGGGTTTAGGGGTTGAGGGGTTTAGGGTTTAGGGTTTAGGGTAACTTCGGGGCCGACTCCTACGGTTGAGGATATAAACCCTGCATTTTACCCACAAGAAGGAAGACCTTAACCTACCAAAACCTGCTTTTTTGTAGGGTCCTTATGAATTCCATATGAGGGTTTGTAATAAGAACCTGCAAAAGCAGGGTTTGGTAGGTATACCATAATTCCCATAGTTTAGGGTCCGTAAGGTAGTGCAGGATTCATATCATCAACAGTAGCATCTTCCCGGACAACCCAAACGCCGAGAGCCTATTTGCTAAGCTTTAATCTCTTTGTGTAGGTATTTATGTGCGGAAATAAAACTATATATATATATATATGCATATAAATACATGTATATATTACATATGTGTAACAGGTTGTAATATGTTATGATGTGTTTATGGATATTTACGTTCATGCACTTATACCCCTTCATACCCCTTCAATGTTTAGGACATGCTGTTGTTATTTCGTTTGTGTTGGCCGTCCACCCGAAACCCAACCAGGGCAACTACATGGTCAGGTTTGATGGTTCTTCGCCAACCATCACGCTGAATCGCAAGCTGGCGCTTTCCATGAAGGCCTTGGGATCAAGACTATAGGGTGTAGGCTTTTAATGCTCTGGGTTTAGGAGCCTTGGTTTAATGTATGCCTCTGTCACCCCCTAAACTGCTACTGTGGACCCAACTCTCGCCGAGCCCTCTGTTCGAATCATTTAGCACCTTTACTGGTGTCTACCCATAGGCCCCATAGTAGTTCCTTTTCGGGATTCCCTAATAGAATCCTAAATATAAGCCACAAAAAGGAACTACTATGGGGCCTGTGGTAGGGCTCTTGGCAGGGAAAACGGTTGTCTTTTCGAGGCAAACACTTATGACTTGCTGGCCCTCGTCGCGTTCGAATCCCGAGACTTTCCCTTAAAGGGGCCTGGAACCTTGACGCCGTAAGACTCCTAAAGCCCTCATACTACTTGGAGGTTCATGGGTAGCTATAAGTGGGGTTATAAGTCCCCTAATATGGGTTATAACTATAGTTACCCTAAACCCTAAACCCTAAACCCTAAACCCTAAACCCTAAACCCTAAACCCTAAACCCTACTTATAACCCCACTTATAA